GTTTCATGTGAAGTACATATATAGTTTAGGATGTCCTGTATAAGAACTGACCATTGTTTTTTCTACTTATTTGAAATGGGGTCTTTAAAGCACTTAATATTATGTTAATACCCCATTTCTCCAAAATGCTGCAGTAAATAAGTTTCATGTGAAGTACAGATATAGTATGGGATGTCCTGTATAAGAACTGACCATTGTTTTTTTCTACTTATTTAAATTGGGGTCTTTATAACACTTTGAAATATAATAATATACAATTTCTCCAAAACACTGCAGTAATAAGGTTTCATGTGAAGTTCACACATAGTATGGGATGTGCTGTATAAGAACTGACCATTGTTATTTTTCTACTTATTTAAAATGCGGTCTTTATAGTATTTTATATTATGTTAATACCCTGTCTCTTTAAAATGTTGCAGTAAAAAGGTTTCATGTGAAGTACATATATAGCATGGGATGTCCTGTATAAGAACTGACTATTGTTTTTTTCTTCTTATTAGAAATGGGGTCTTTATAGCACTTTATATCATGTTAATACCCCCTTTCTCCAAAATGCTGCAGTAAATAGGTTTCATGTAAAGTACACATATAGTATGGTATGTCCTGTATAAGAACTGACCATTGTTTTTTTCTACTTATTTGAAATAGGGTCTTTATAGCACTTTATATTGGCTTAATACCCAGTTTCTCCAAAATGCTGCAGTAAAAAGGTTTCATGTGAAGTACATATATAGTATGGTATGTCATGTATAAGAACTGATCATTGTCTTTGTCTACTTATTTGAAATGGGGTCTTTAAAGCACTTAATATTATGTTAATACCCCCTTTCTCCAAAATGCTGCAGTAAAAAGGTTTCATGTGAAGTACACATATAGTATGGTATGTCCTGTATAAGAACTGACCATTGTTTTTTTCTACTTATTTGAAATGCGGTCTTTATAGCGCTTTATATTATGTTAATACCCCCTTTCTCCAAAACGCTGCAGTAAATAGGTTTCATGTGAAGTACAGATATAGTATGGTATGTCATGTATAAGAACTGACCATTGTTTTTTCTACTTATTTAAAATGCGGTCTTTATAGTATTTTATATTATGTTAATACCCCGTCTCTTTAAAATGCTGCAGTAAAAAGGTTTCATGTGAAGTACAAATATAGTATGGGATGTCCTGTATAAGAACTGATCATTGTTTTTTTCTACTTATTTGAAATGGGGTCTTTATAGCACTTTATTTTATGTTAATACCACATTTCTCTAAAATGCTGCAGTAAATAGGTTTCATGTGAAGTTCACACATAGTATGGGATGTCCTGCATAAGAACTGACCATTATTTTTTTCTACTTATTTAAAAGGGGGTCTTTATAACACTTTGAAATATAATATTATACAATTTCTTCAAAACACTGCAGTAATAAGGTTTCATGTGAAGTCCACACATAGTATGGGATGTCCTGTGTAAGAACTGACCATTGTTTTTTTCTACTTATTTAAAATGCGGTCTTTATAGTATTTTATATTATGTTAATACCCCGTCTCTTTAAAATGCTGCAGTAAAAAGGTTTCATGTGAAGTACATATATAGTATGGGATGTCCTGTGTAAGAACTGACCATTGTTTTTTTCTACTTTTTTTAAAATGCGGTCTTTATAGTATTTTATATTATGTTAATACCCCGTCTCTTTAAAATGCTGCAGTAAAAAGCTTTCATGTGAAGTACATATATAGTATGGGATGTCCTGTATAAGAACTGACCATTGTTTTTTTTTACTTATTTAAATTGGGGTCTTTATACAGTAACACTTTGAAATATAATAATATACAATTTCTCCAAAACACTGCAGTAATAAGGTTTCATGTGAAGTTCACACATAGTATGGGATGTCCTGTATAAGAACTGACCATTATTTTTTTCTACTTATTAAAAATGGGGTCTTTATAGTATTTTTTATTATGTTAATACCTTGTCTCTTTAAAATGCTGCAGTAAAAAGGTTTCATGTGAAGTACATATATAGTATGGGATGTCCTGTATAAGAACTGACTATTGTTTTTTTCTACTTATTAGAAATGGGGTCTTTATAGCACTTTATATTATGTTAATACCCCATGTCTGAAAAATGCTGCAGTAAAAAGGTTTCATGTGAAGTACACATAGAGTATGGGATGTCCTATATAAGAACTGACCATTGTTTTTTTCTACTTATTAGAAATAGGGTCCTTATAACAATTTAAATCATATTAATACCCCATTTCTCCAAAACAGTGCAGTAAGAAGGTTTAATGTGAGGTACACACATAGTATGAAATGTCCTGTATAAGAACTGACCATTGTTTTTTTCTACCTATTTAAAATAAAGTCTTTATAGTACTTTATATTATGTTAATACCCTGTTTCTTTAAAATGCTGCAGTAAAAAGCTTTTATGTGAAGTAAACACATAGATTAGGATGTCCTGTATAAGATCTGACCATTGTTTTTTTCTACTTAATTGAAAGGGGATATTTATAGTACTTTTTCTATGTAATACCCTGTTTCTCCAAAATGCTGCAGTAAAAAGGTTTCATGTGAAGTACACATATAGTATGGGATGTCCTGTATAACAACTGACAATTGTGTTTTCTACTTATTTGAAATGGGGTTTTTATATCACTTTATATTATCATGTTAATACCCCGCTTCTCCAAAACAGTGCAGTAAGAAGTTTTCATGTGAAGTACACATATAGTATGGGATGTCCTGTATAACAACTGACAATTGTTTTTTTTCCTTCTTATTTAAAATGCGGTCTTTATAGTACTTTATATTATGTTAATATCCCGTTTCTTTAAAATGCTGCAGTAAAAAGGTTTCATGTGAAGAACACACATAGATTAGCATGTCCTGTATAAGATCTGACCATTGTTTTTTTCTACTTATTTGAAATGGGGTTTTTATACAACTTTATGTTATGTTAATACCTCATTTCTCCAAAACAGTGCAGTAAGAATGTTTCATGTGATGTACACACAAAATATGGAATGTCTTGTACAAAAACTGACCATTGTTTTTTTATACTTATTTGAAATGGGGTCTTTATAGTACTTTATATTATGTTAATATCCCGTTTCTTTAAAATGCTGCAGTAAAAAGGTTTCATGTGAAGAACACACATAGATTAGCATGTCCTGTATAAGATCTGACCATTGTTTTTTTCTACTTATTTGAAATGGGGTTTTTATACAACTTTATGTTATGTTAATACCTCATTTCTCCAAAACAGTGCAGTAAGAATGTTTCATGTGATGTACACACAAAATATGGAATGTCTTGTACAAAAACTGACCATTGTTTTTTTTATACTTATTTGAAATGGGGTCTTTATAGCACTTTATATTATGTTAATACCCCATTTCTCTAAAATGCTGCAGTAAATAGGTTTCATGTGAAGTACAGATATAGTATGGGTTGTCGTGTATAATAACTGACCATTGTTTTTTTCTACTTATTTAAATTGGGGTCTTTATAACACTTTGAAATATAATATTATACAATTTCTCCAAAACACTGCAGTAATAAGGTTTCATGTGAAGTCCACACATAGTATGGGATGTCCTGTGTAAGAAATGACCATTGTTTTTTCTACTTATTTGAAATGGGGTTTTTATATCACTTTATATTATCATGTTAATACCCCGCTTCTCCAAAACAGTGCAGTAAGAAGTTTTCATGTGAAGTACACATATAGTATGGGATGTCCTGTATAACAACTGACAATTCTTTTTTCTACTTATTTGAAATGGGGGTTTTATATCACTTTATATTATGATGTTAATACCCCGCTTCTCCAAAACAGTGCAGTAAGAAGTTTTCATGTGAAGTACACATATAGTATGGGATGTCCTGTATAACAACTGAAAATTGTTTTTTTTCCTTCTTATTTAAAATGCGGTCTTTATAGTACTTTATATTATGTTAATATCCCGTTTCTTTAAAATGCTGCAGTAAAAAGGTTTCATGTGAAGTACACACATAGATTAGCATGTCCTGTATAAGATCTGACCATTGTTTTTTTCTACTTATTTGAAATGGGGTTTTTATACAACTTTATGTTATGTTAATACCTCATTTCTCCAAAACAGTGCAGTAAGAATGTTTTATGTGATGTACACAAAAAATATGGAATGTCTTGTACAAAAACTGACCATTGTTTTTTTATACTTATTTGAAATGGGGTCTTTATAGCACTTTATATTATGTTAATACCCCATTTCTCTAAAATGCTGCAGTAAATAGGTTTCATGTGAAGTACAGATATAGTATGGGATGTCGTGTATAATAACTGACCATTGTTTTTTTCTACTTATTTAAATTGGGGTCTTTATAACACTTTGAAATATAATATTATACAATTTCTCCAAAACACTGCAGTAATAAGGTTTCATGTGAAGTCCACACATAGTATGGGATGTCCTGTGTAAGAACTGACCATTGTTTTTTCTACTTATTTAAAATGCGGTCTTTATAGTATTTTATATTATGTTAATACCCCGTCTCTTTAAAATGCTGCAGTAAAAAGGTTTCATGTGAAGTACAAATATAGTATGGGATGTCCTGTATAAGAACTGATCATTGTTTTTTTCTACTTATTTGAAATGGGGTCTTTATAGCACTTTATTTTATGTTAATACCACATTTCTCTAAAATGCTGCAGTAAATAGGTTTCATGTGAAGTTCACACATAGTATGGGATGTCCTGCATAAGAACTGACCATTATTTTTTTCTACTTATTTAAAAGGGGGTCTTTATAACACTTTGAAATATAATATTATACAATTTCTTCAAAACACTGCAGTAATAAGGTTTCATGTGAAGTCCACACATAGTATGGGATGTCCTGTGTAAGAACTGACCATTGTTTTTTTCTACTTATTTAAATTGCGGTCTTTATAGTACTTTATATTATGTTAATACCCCATCTCTTTAAAATGCTGCAGTAAAAAGGTTTCATGTGAGGTACATATATAGTGTGGGATGTCCTGTGTAAGAACTGACCATTGTTTTTTTCTACTTATTTAAAATGCGGTTGTAATGGGGCGATCCCCAAAGGGGAGGGGTTTCCCACTCGTATGCGTGTAGTGGGGGATCCCCAAGGGGGAGGGGTTTCCTCACTATGTTTAGGTGAATGGAGTTAGAAATTAAGCTCGCCACCCCTTTAAAAGTGTGGAGGTTTTGCTTCCGTTATATCCCTGGCATGGAATAGTGGCAGTGTGTTGAGTGCGTGCAAACTTTTGATGTGCGTTAAGCATTGAGCGTTGAGCAGTAAGCCTGCAGTGTTTAGAAAAACCTGTAATTCTGTTTCTTTGGCCTGCGGAAGTGCAATCGCATCAGCAAGTAACGGTATGTCTCTGTTTATGTCTTTGGCTATTTCTGGCGAGTTTTAGAGCTGTTAATTAATAATAAATAATTCTTTTAGCTACATCCATGTATGATTGGTGGATTGCTCACCATTTGCGTTAAGAGCCAGTTGACTGGGCTGCGGGTAAGTTTCTATTTGAGAGTCTGTAAATGTTTTATCTAGAAATATGATTTTAAAACGTTAACATGCGAATGAATATTGACTGGTTGTTTTATAGAGAGCCCGTTGCTGTTTTGCTGCTGTCTGGCGACCCGTTTGTGCTACGGAGGGGCGATTTCACTTTCCTTCTCGGCACCTGATTGTGTGTGACTCGGTTGCGTCAAGGCTGTGTGTGTGTGTGTGTGTGTGTGTGTGTGTGTGTGTGTGTGTGTGTGTGTGTGTGTGTGTGTGTGTGTGTGTGTGTGTGTGTGTGTGTGTGTGTGTGTGTGTGTGTGTGTGTGTGTGTGTGTGTGTGTGTGTGTGTGTGCCCTGCAGGGTTTAGCTCCAGCTTACCTCAACACACCTGCCTGGGTGTTTTAAGTGTTTGATTAGGGTTGAAGCTAAAATCTGCCACCGGACCTGCAGGAACAAGTTTGGTGATCACTGCTGTAGGGCATTACCTCTGTTGACGCTATTCGGGTGTGACTGTTTACTCGGTAGCTCAATGTGAATGGTGCCAGACTTGGGAGGCAGAGAGGACTGGACCGGACTGAATTTTGAGTGCCAACAGATGCTCACCCACTAATCAGCATCATTAGTATTAGTATTGGTATGACTTCCCTAGACATCAAACACACCCCTCTAACCCCAAAGCCCTGTGCTCTTCATTGTAGGTCACGATGGCTTCGATCAATATTCGTATCTAAGGATTGTTTACAGGGAAAATGAGGAAATAGCACCTGTAATGAAGATCATCAGGATCTGTATGTCATGATTGCTACCGATCTATGTTGGAAAAGATCGCTGGTGAACTACAGACCTGTGACGCACAACAATTGCCTACATTCTCTTCTATTGACCGGCTTCCTGAAGGAGATGCATGATCTTCATATTGCTGGATCCATGTTTGGCTGAGTCTTTTGTAATGTGAAGTGGAGGTGCGGATGCAAATGCAGGTTTCTTGAGAATGGTCAGGCAAGCAACAGTCACAATCAGGAGCAAACAGATGTAAGCAGGCAAATCCAGAGTCGTAGTGAATACACAGGCCATTGGTCAGTACAGGCAGGCAGCAGGCAACATGACAAACAAAAAAGCGAGGAAAACACGTCGCAATGTTCACAAGACTGTATATATGACTCGGGAACATCAACATAACAAAACAGCCACATGACATACAAAGACTTCAGATAAGCAAAATGTATTTATAGTACAAACAATCCATAATAACGGGTTTCAACTGTGTGTGATTAATGGAAATGGAGTCCAGTGTGTGCAATGCGGAAGGTAGGGAATTGTAGTTCGTCACAGGTCTGTAGTTCACCAGCGATCTTTCCCAACATAGATCGCTGGCAATCATGACACTATTCATTTTATCAACTTAATATTATCAACACTATTAATATTATCAAAAGTTTCAGATTAAATACTGTTAATTCATTCATAGCCTCTTCAAGCTTAAATAAACCCTAATATTTTTGTCCATGTTGGTTTATCTTTCCCAGAATGCATGTCAGATTCAGAAGACGAGGGGGGTATGTACTCTCTCATATTTTCTCATGTACTGAAATTGTTAGTAATTTAAAATTTTCAATCTCCTAAGGATACTTTTCCACATTTTTCCATGAAACTATTTAAGAATACCATTACTTCTGTTCTGCTATTGTTTATTAACAAATGTCTGTCTACTTCCTTATCTGTCTTATACGTGATTTAGTACAAACCTCAATCTGTCCTTTTTCTCTAATTTACAGTATTTCTCTTAAGCTGAAAGTCCTATTTCTAATCCACATTTTGTCTTATATCTCTAAGATCCTTGAGAAAGTCGTTTTGACTCAATTGCAAAAATCGGAAGTTTAATCCAAGAGAAATTTTAATCTGGTTTTAAAGCATTACATAGTATTGAATGTGTACTTTTAAGAGTGCCAAGTGATATTTCTACAGAAAGTGATTCTGAAAACTCTTTGGCATTTGTTTTATTAGATTTGCGTTCTGCATTTGACATGATTGACTACAATTCATTCATAGCCTCTTCATGCTTAAATTAACCCTAGAATTTTTGTCCATGTTGATTTTTCGTTCCCAGAATGCACATCAGATTCAGATGACGAGAGGGGTATGTACTCTCTCATATTTTCTTGTGTAGTGATATTGCAGTGAAATTGTTTGTAATTCAAAACCTTTAATTTGTCTTTAGGATGTTATTCTATCTTCTTTCTTTAAACAAATTAAGAATACATTTGGTCTGGTTCTGCTCTTGGGTATCAACAAATGTTTGTCTACTGGCCTCTTCCCTATCGGTCTTGAGTGTTGTGTAGTGACAGCATATCTTAAACTAAACCTCAATCCTTCCTCTTTCTCTAATTTTGGTCTATTTTCTAATCAACTTTTTATCTCAAAGGTTCTTGAGAAAGTGGTTTTGACACAATTACAAAAATATCTGACTTTAAATTTGGTCCACAAGACATATTAATCTGGTTTTAAAGCATCACACAGTTTTGAATCTGCACTTTTCAGAGTCTCAAATGATATTTTTACAGAAACTGATTCTGGGAATTATTCGCCATTAGTTGTATTAGACTTGCACTCTGCATTTGACTGGATTGACTACAAGGTTCTGGTGACACAGCTGTGGGCCTAGTTCAATCAGGGCACAGTTTTAGAGTGGCTCTGTTCTTATCTGACCCATAGATGTTTTAGCGTGCACATTGACCATCAGTCCTCAATACTCCTCTCAGTTGTGAAGTTCCACAGAGATCAGTCCCTTGGGCATGTATTGTTTACCCTGTATATGCTCCTTCAGGGTTCTATTTTTAACAAATATCATTTAACAAGAAATCACCTTCCCGAACTCTCGCATTCAATCTGCCCAGTTGGTCGAATGAGCTTCCTAACTGCATCAGAACGGCAAAGTCACTCGCTGTCTTCAAGAAACGACTAAAAACTCAACTATTTAGTCTTCACTTCCCTTCCTAATCTGCAATTGCCTCTCTGGTTCTACTGCTAACTGTATTACAAAAAGAAAACAAAAAAATACTAATGTTTTGCTTCTTACACTTTCCATACCTGAAACTTGCCTACAGCACTTATTCATTGTTGCTCTTATAGTTGTGTAAATTGCTTCCTTGTCCTCATTTGTAAGTCACTTTGGATAAAAGCGTCTGCTAAATGTAAATGTAAATATAAAAATCTTTTATCTAAAGTATGTGCAGATGCCACTCTGATCTATTATCAAAGAAAATACTAATGAAAATGGACAAATTTGTAATCCTCCTGGGCATTAGCATGTGGTGCCTCTCTAACAGACATTATAGAGCTGCGAGCTGGGTGACGTGCAACAACTATAATATTTGTATACTTTATAGCTTGAAAAAACTGTACAAAACCACGCACATCTCTCTTAATTGGGTGCTCAGCCAAAACTGCAAAAAGTGCAAATTAAATGTTAATCAAAGGCGGCAACACCAAGGCTCCAAAAATATTGTCTGATGAAGAGCCGGGTGGCTCGAAACGTTACACGCTCTATGTCAGCCTTTTTAATTTAATAAATTTGTATTTTTGGAGCCTTGGTGTTGGCACCTTTGATTAACATTTAATTTATACTTTATAGCTTTACAGCACGTGCATCAAAGATGTAGTTATTGATGTAGGCCTGCTAACTGATCAAATGACAGAATATGTAAACTTAGTTTATATATATATATAACTTAATAATAATTAAAAGCCTGGGTGCTGGTCGACAGAGGGATCTTATTTTGAGGCCTATGTCTTGACCTCAGATTTGGTTGATCATTCTAAGGAAAATGGGTGTTTCAGCACCGCCTTTATGTGTATAATGAATTTTCAAGTCGTCTATCCATTTTCCTACCCTAAATAAAAAAAGAAAGAAAATTAAGCCAAAAAAATATTTTTTTTGTTTCTTGTGAGGAGATGAAAAATGGATAAACGTCAGTTTTCTTAATATTTTTTATTTTTTTTTTTTGAAAACGGATATGGATTGGACTTAAGATACACTGATTGATCACCACACAAGATTCCATCTGTTTATGACTCTATGAATGATGAATTATGGTTTGTGCTCTCCAACTCCTGCACATCACACACATAACTTGTGTGTCACAAAACGTGCATACCATCGCAGCATACTACACGAGCAGTAACTTAAAGTATATGAGAACACATTATATAACACAAAAAAATAGGAAAATGACCTTGAACAGTAAACTATGAAATACCGCTCCTACAATAAGTAATATTAATAATTAGTGTGACATGGTGGCTGGGTGGTTAGCACTGTCGCCTCACAGCAAGAAGGTCACCTGTTTGAGTCCTGGCTGTGTCAGTTGGCATTTCTGTGTGGAGTTTGCATGTTCTTCCTGTGTTTGTGTGGGTTCCCTCTGAGTGCTCTACAGTCCAAAGACATGTGCTATAGGTGAATTGAATAAGCTAAATTGGTCGTAGTGTGTGTGTCAATGCAAGAGTGTATGGGCGTTACCCAGTGCTGGGTTGCGGCTGGAAGGGCATCCGCTGCGGAAAAGATATGCTGGATAATTTGGCGGTTCATTCTGCTGTGGTGACCCCTGATTAATAAAGGGATTAAACCGAAAAAAAAATGAATCAATGAGTTTGGTGGTTAGCACTGTCGCTCACAGCAAGAAGGTCGCCGGTTCAAGTCTCAAAGACACGCATTAGTGAATTGGATGAACTAAATTGGCCGTAGTGTATGAGTTCGTATGTGAATGAGAAAGTGTATGGGTGTTTCCCAGTACTGGGTTGCGGCTGGAAGGGCATCCATTTAGCAATTCATTTCGCTGTGGCAGCCCCTATTAAATCTGAGACCAAGTCGAATTTTGCACATTTTTTATGTAAAACTTTGTGTTGTGAATGCAATGTTTTGGCTCGGCACTGTTTTTTTTTTTTTTTGCACAATAATATTTTAGGCCAGTAAGTATTTTTCAAACATTTTTATTGCATCTCAGTCTCCTTCTCATTCATCCTCTCATCCTTCTTCTTTTATTTCTCCTCCGCATCATCCTTCTGCTTTTCCTGCTGTCTCTTTTCTTGTTTCTCTTATTCTTCTTCTCCTTTGGCTTTTCTACCTCCTCCTCCTCCATTTCTTCCTCCATCTCCTCTTCATTCTTATCCTCCTTTTCATTTTCTTTTATCCTCTCCTCATTTACCTTTCCCTTCTCCTCTTTCTCATTCTTATCCTCCTTCTCTTCATTTTCTTTCATCCTCTCCTCCTTTACCTTCTC